AAACTACACTTGTCTGCTTCGTAACAATGTTGGAGTACTTGTCAGCAGACCCATTCACGTAGTTTTAGCACGTATGTAAAACGTTCTCTCCCTTTTCAAATGCATTTTACTCTATTTGGTTCGTATAGCATAATTAATTGTGGTACCACCAGTATTATTGTATTTATTGTAATGAACATTATTGGTGCAGGATTTCTACATTCTTATTATCTAAAATCTAAATGCAAAATAAATTCGTTATTGAAGATATTGGGAATAATTACATACATATTGTGACTTCTCTTTGTAATCTCTTGAAAATTAAAGCTCTGATTTGCCTTCTTTTCCTTGATTTTTTTAATAATATGCAATAAATTTTAATTTCAACACTTCAGTTGATCCGATCCCCCTTCCCCCATTTGCATTTTTCTTTAAATGAATAGTTTAATTCTGCTAAACAAAATATGGCTTTTTTTTTTTTTTTTTTTTTTTTGAGAAGAAAACCCCAAGGTTCTTCTCAATTTTCTTTTGTTCAGGAGCTTAGTTATGTAAAAACTGTTGCTGTTGACAAAGGTTTTTCTCCTTTTAATGATTTTTTAAAATAATTTTTTATGTACTCTTTTTCTTTTTAAGGAAACTCTCTTGTGAAAAGCAGTTTTAATAAGCTTGTTATGAGTGTTTTTGTTCTTTTCATTATAATTTCAAAATTACTCTGAAAATTAAAGAAATAAGTTTTTCCCTCAATTTAAAATAAGTAACTTCTGAATTATTTTCTTACGGGATATTAAAATTCATATATGCACTGTTTTGAGATGAAATTATTTGATAAACTATCTTTTCGTCTTTGAACACTTTTGCACTTTTTGACGGTTATAAAGAGGATTTATCCGAGATTCTATCTATTATGAATTCATTATCCAGCCATCCAATTCACTTTGAAATTGAATCCAACAATTCCTTCCCTTCCTGAAATTCTTATAATCCGCAATGACCGATTTTAGCACCACTGTGTACTGTAAACCCTTTGCTGTTTGTTACCACTCCCATGCCAAGTGTCATGCAACCCTGTTAAGCAAAAATGGCCTTCTTTATTATTATGTAATTCCGCGCGCGTAAAGTTTGTTCCTCTGAATCTTTGCTTCCAATGACGTTAATTTATTGAAAGCAGTTTGTGATTGACCGTGGATTTTCTTTCGCTGTGAGTATTGATAAAGCCGTTAAAAATTTCAGATTCCATCAAAGAAGCATTCCATCTGTTAGAAATATATTAATGCCTTTAGTGCTTCTATTTATCCTTCTGTTAGCTATAAACTTGCATTTATTCTCCGGGAAATTCCAATTTCCAAGTCGGTTTCTCCCCTTTAGTAAAATTCACCTTCGATTCTAAAAGATTGCATTTCTGTCTTTGAATTCTTGAGGAATTTATCGTATACGTGTCAGGTGTGGTTTAAAGATATATTGGCAAACAAAAAGAGGGTTGAAGTTTCGTATCAGGAACATTAATCTTATGTCAGAAAAGGCGAATTACAAGTCTTCATGCATATCATAGTTGGGACTTTAACCCATAATGTTTGACTTTGGGTCTGCAACATTATCCAAAAGCTTCTTCCATAGGTGATTGGATTTTTTTGAGGCTTTTTCACATTCACAAAGATTTTAGCAGATTATAATGCTTTGAAGTCCAATCCAGTCCTTCCTAATGCCCTTTTAAATTCTACTATCTGAATTTGTATTTTTGCCGATACATGGCGTTACCTCCTCTCGTTGGTACTAACCAGAGGGCTATAAAAATCTGTTCAGTGGTTCCTTTCCATTTTTGAATTTTTCAGATTTTGAGCGTGAAGGGTGGCATGTGGCCCCTCACTCCCCTAATTTTGCTTCTCTAATTTTCTTGTCCCTTTATCTGATCAGATTAGCGGGCGCAGTAAAAGAAGGCGGCAGTGCCAACTCTGGATTAAAATCCGTTATAACCACGTGCATGTGCTGATAAGGACCACATGTTTCTGAGACTCTCTCCTTTATTTTTCTTCTTTCTAGTTATTTCTTCTTTCTCCTGATGAGGAGGGACCTTTAGCTGCCCTCGAAATTGATTGAGTGTTTCATTATACTTACGCTAAATACAAGGTTGTTTTTATAATTTTGAGAACACTACATTGTCGGAACATCATGTAAATAAAGAATAAGTATTGGCATTCCATATAATATAATTTTGGTGCTACCAGTAATAATAAACAATGTGATACCACATTCACCCTTCTCAAAGATTATTAATCAGTCCTATAGTCTGCCAGATAAGAAGGTTGACGTCTGTGCCTTTTAGGGCAAAGATTCACTTTCATGCAAGTAATCATTTGCAGTCTTTTCAAAAGCCTCAGTTCTGGTGTAGCATGGTAAATCACTAACTTCTCTTGTATTGATTTTCTAACAATTTTAGATATAGATTAGCAGCTTCAGTAGCTAGATCTTCATTCTGTTGTGCAAAAGAATTTGAAAGTTGTTGGTTTTCATCTGACCGTACATCATGGGCATGTATAAGATTATCTCCTCTGGGTGCCAAATGTAATATTGAAGTATTGGTTTCACGACCATCTGGAAATTTAACATAAGCGTAATTTGAGTTAACTTAGTGAGTCCTCTTTCTGCATAATAGGCTGATATTTATCGGTACAGGTCAGTTCGACGTGTGGTCGATTCGACACCAGGTCGTTTCGACGTGGGGTCAGTTCGACGCCATATATATATATATATATATTTTTTTTTTTTTTGGTTTTTGTTTAATGCGTTTTTTCGTCTTTTTCATTATTTTTAGAATAAGTTTGCATCATCATTTCAAATTTGTGGGTTGCACACCACATTATAGGACTTATAGATGGTCTCAGGCATGTTGAAAAATCAATTTATCAATGTAGAACAAAGTGTACTGGAGCTAACCGCCGCACAGCGGAATAGTACGCTGCGAGCTGAGATAGATTAAAGTAATATAATTTTGAAAACCGAAAATAAAGGAATGCTGAAGTGTGGCGCATATTTTGCAATGGATAGTATAATAAATTCTGTAATTCAATCTTATTTATCTCTAATCTTATTTATGTGAATCTTATATCTATAATTATATTTCTTCAATATATATAACATTTGTAACATTGTTTTCTTTACCATTTGTGTATTTGCTTTTTGATGCTGTTTGTGGAATAAATAATAAAAAGACCCTCTCTCATTCCCGGGGCCTTGCCTTTGGCTAGGAGCTCTACTAATCTGGGACCCAAACACAATCTAGAACACTTCACACATATACACACATTATTATTTCAATATGCATGCAAACAATCGCTATTCAATAAATAAATCATCCTATTACTTTTTATATTACTTCATATTATTCTAAAAATAAATTAAAATACAAAAAAAAAAATATGGCGTCGAACTGCCCCTGCGTCGGAATGTACGGCGTCGAACTGCCCCAGCGTCAAAATGTTGGCGTCGAACCATCAGCGTCGAAACGACCTGCTTCGGATATTTATTAGCTTGTGATTAATACTGGTCCAGTTTGTGTTAGCCATGTAGATAAAGATTGCCCATTGTAGGATCTTCTAGCATGGATGGACATGGTATGGCATGTGTTTCTGTACATAAGAGTGAACAGATCGAAAGCAAAACAGGATTGTAAATTTCCTTGCCAGTGTTCACTAGGCATTTTCTTTTAGTGCCCAGTTGGATGCTTTTCCGAAAGATTCTCTTACACCTTTCTACTTCCTCGATTAATATATGCTGTTGTGCGACTTGTTGTTGTGACTTGTTGTTGCAAGGAAAATTAAGAAGGATTTTGATTCATGCGATGATAAATGAAGATCCTCATTTAGAATGTATGTATGTTGACATCCTCAAAATTGAGAAAATGTTTTGCAGATGAGCAATAACAGTAGCAGATGGCATATCGGGGCAGCATATTGCAAAGAGGAATCTTGAAAACTCATCCACAGTAGTAAGAAGCAACTGGTTCTTGAAAACTGTCGGGGAAGGATCTTTGAAGTCTAGATTTAGTTGTTCAAAACATGCAATTACTTTATCTGATTTCTTCTAGTCGAAAAGGCAAATGTTTAGATCTTATCAAGTGATACATTCCAGTTATTCCAGGGTGACAGAGTTCATTATGTAGTGTATTTAGATGTATTTGGGGTTTTATAGCTGCATTTGTTCTTGATAAAATGTCTGCAGTTTAATTTTTTATCTAGGGTAATATATGTTACAAATTTGAAACAAGCAAGCTCTAACTGCCAAGGCATAATCTCATTTTTGATTTTACTGCAGTCACTGATCAAGCATAAATGCCACTGGTCTTTGATCTGTAAAAACTTTGAAGTGCCTGCCAATTAAGTGGTATTCATAGTTTCAGAAAAATCCATCAACAGCATAATATTTCTTTTTCTATAGAGGAGTACTTCTATTATATAGAGTTTAATGGTATAGGGAAGAAGTCTGTAAAACATCCAGCTTGAGACTCAAGGTTGCTCCTATTGTAAATTCAGAAACTTTGGCTATTCTCTTTTAAGGGAATTAAAGGATTTTTCTCAACATTTTTACAAAGGAGAACAAGTCCTTTAGTCAAAATAAGGTGAATCTTTTCAGAAAAGCTCAGAATCAAATGGCAGTAATGAGCAAACATTGTCTGTGATATCTGTAAAGAGGCCTTATTCCTAGGAAAATTGGTAAATCTGTCAATAGTTTCAATCTGTCAGGATTGGGTTTTCTTTTATTATTAACTATATGGTAGCCAGCAATTCATTCAGAGTCAAGTTATATTTCTTAGCAGCAGCCATAAATCTCTCTTAAGGTATTGCTATGCTCAGCTTCATTCTTACCACATATATAGTTACATCATCAAGATAGGGAAAGGTTCCTGATAATTTTATTTGAAATTTCATTGATTATTCCCTGGAAAGAAGCAGCTCTATTTGCTACATCTATAACCATTCATGTCTGCGATGTTCTTCTATCACAACAAATGTTGTCCTTATTTGCCTCCTTCACTTGTGTGAGGGAATTTAAAAAAGTTTTTTTCTGATGTTTTCATTTAGATTCTTCTCCAACAAATGTGCGTTCAATATCAAATCTTTCTGGTTTCAAAAGGATTTCCATTTGAGGGGAGGGGTAGTTGATTAAACTGCTGTAAATGTAGTAAATCGTTTCTTTTAAGAATCTCAAAGAAAGCTTTAATTTAATAAAACTGCACATAAAGCAGTGCTAAATGTAATATTGTCAGAACATCATGTAAACAAAGAATAACTATTGCCATTCCATGTGATGTACTTGTGATATTGTCAAAAATAATAAAAAATAATACCACAATAGTGAAATGTGAATGTAGAAATTGCAGTAAGTATGAAGAACATTTGGAACAAAATGTCATTTTAATCATGCATCACAATATTGATAAACAGATTGATGTGCATTTTGGAATATGGCAAGCCATTCATGTATTTCTGCAGCAGTGATGTTTTAACTCCTATAATGAGAGGTTCAGAGGAGTCAATTTGCATTCTATAAGCAAAGTCTTGTTGTGATACATGTATTGCAATTGCTGGTCGCTCAGTTGAATAACTTCCTGCTTGTAAATATTCTGTGATTAAAATGACATTTTCTTCATTCTTTGTACTTATGGTGTTTCCAGATTCTTCACTTTATATTACAAAAATTGTTACTTTTGCCTTGTTCTGTCACCTTTTAAAGTTGTGGCCATCAATTCTATTGCATCTTGTTTAAAACAATTAGATTTTTAAGAAGCCTGCTATTTTCTCCAAAGCTTAAAAAGATGTTAATGAAGGATTTTAATTCTAGTTTACTTTTCTTGCCATGTTTAAAAAATTTAGTTCCATTTCCCATTCCATGATTTCAATTTCATTCAACAGGCAGCTCTACCATTTTCTTGCATGCCTTTTTAATTATGGTTCAACTTATATTTTTGAGGCTTTAGATACTTGAAAATTATCTAAATTAGCCTCATTAGTTATTTTTTCTAAGGTTAAGTAAAATTAACCTTGTTGGTATTTAGTTTAAAAACATCGTTAAGGAAGTTTTAGAGCATGACAATACATTACATTATGCTATTATGCATTTTTCATCCACCCACATTCAAGTGTTGCTGCCAATACATGAAAAATTGCTCCTAATGAACCTGGCTAGTGGTTGTCAGTCCATACTGAAGAATTGATGAGCATTGGTCTTTATGATTTCCATTCATTGATAATTTTCAAAGTAATTAAACCTCTGATTAAGTGATATTAAAAAGTGTAATACATATTTTTACTCATAAATTATTATAGTTAGTAATTAGAGATAATGTAAATTTTATATTTTATTATTATTAAGTAGCATAAAAATACATTGAAATATCTTGGCAGCTTTGGTAACTTTCAAAGTCACTTGCATAATTAAAAGCCTAACTGAAACTCAAATGGAGGGTATTTCAGGTTAATGCAAAAGTGTAGTTTATATGTTATGGTTGTCTTTCGTATAACTGTAGTTTTTGAGTGAAAATTTTTCTTTTTACTTCTTAGGCATGTCCAAATCTTTTAATTCTCAACCTCAACCGCAGACTACTCATGAAGGTGGACAGGCCCGTTTTAGTTGCCAAATTAATGCTGTTCCACCTGCAATCATCTCCTGGTATAGAGATGGCATTGAACTACCTCAAAATGACAGCAGGTAATTTTTTTGTGTTACTTAATGTGCCCCTATACATATATTCTGGTAATATATGTAATTACTTATGAGCAAATATACCTTGTATCCATAAAAGTCCTTACCTCTGTTTTTGCAACTTTAAGCTCTAGATATATATTTTGAATGGTAAACATGTTTTAAATTATATAAGTATTGATATTCCTGCGTCTTGAAATTTTGAAAAATCAGTTTTGTAAAAATAATGAAAACTATTTGTTTAATTTTATTTATATTTAGTAAAATTTTACACTCATTCTGAAAAGTAAAGTAGAAAAGTTCAAAAAAATTATGATAAAAATCAAAGGAATTTTCATTTCAAAATTTGGACTTTTTCCTTCAAATTTGGATTTTTGCCTCGGATCTGGAGTATAGATTAAAAAGCAACTTGGAGTAATTCAGGTTGATTTTCTTTCCCTTTAATGTTATTCAGTGATAATCTTTTGTGTAAATCGTTTCTTTTATCAGTATGTAACATTCTTTAAATTATAATTGTATTACATTCTGTTTCCTGAAAGCATTTTCATACAAGTAATTTAGAAGTCTTCAAGTGCTAAAAATACATTAAAATTTTATTTATTACTTCGGATTCCAGATTTATTGCTTAGGAATAGTTGTCTAGTAACCATTTCAAAAATTTGTTCGACTAAATACAATGCAGAGACTGAGATTTGGAATTGTCAGCAACTAACAGTTCAAGATTTTGAAAATTTTCAGATTTTAGACCATCAGTCAATGTAGTAAGATGAGGAGAAGACATGGCAATGTTGGGGCTTTCATTTATTGTTTAGGGCAGGTAGAAAAATGCTGTCCCTACAAAATCATCAATATAATGTCATTGGCTACCCGCCATGTAAATCCCTGGCCAGTAGGTGCTTGAATGTGGCATGCAGGACTCTGAGTTAAAAGTGTTAAGATTTCAGACTTTAATTTATGCAAGTAGTATCACAAGTTGGGTATGTGTTGGCTATTATAGCTTACCAGTTTGCATAGAGATGCGTGTCGGTTAATGTATTAACATCAGAAACATTTCTGTTATCTGATATTTCATTTTTGGTTATGCACATATGCAAACATTTTACTCTTCAATTTGTGTATGGACTGGGAACATGATCCCAAGTTTTGAAATTAAGTTTCTGTTATTTTATAGTGGGTATAAACATTTACTAAATATAACCTTTTAAGTCTGGGAAATTATATAAATAATTAGATTTTGTAATTTTTAAATTAAAAAATTAAAAATGTGAATATTTCTGTCATTTAAAATGTTTTTGTAATTGCTAGAATGTGTGTGTGTGCAACCAAATAATTAATGAATTAAATGGTGAAAAGTAATTAATCATATAGTTTAATACACTGGTTCTCAGCCCTTTTTTTTTGCCCCATGCACATTTTTCACTCTCATTTCCCAATAAATTTAGATTGTTTTTAAATGTGTTTCAAATGCCAAAGCTAGAATAAAAGTAGTTTTTATGTTTAGAAACTAAAATTAATTAATTCACAATTTAACTAAAGGCTGCCTATTTTCCCTTGTGATTTTTTATTATATTGTCAAAGGTACAATCCCTAATCTTTATAAATTTATCTAGAGTGCCCCATACTTTTATTATTTTTGATACAAAATTATAAATGAATTTTATAAAGAGAATTCTTTAATCTCTTTTTTTTCTCATTAAACTATATGATAAGATATTTTTTTCCATTTTGTTCAGCAATTATTTTATGTAAAAGCTTATTTTATAAAAACTATTTTTTATGTTTATTTTAGATTTTTTGTTAAATTGTTAAAAGTGTTTAATAAGAAGATGAAAGTTCGAAATACCATAAAACATAAAAATGTGTTGCAAAATAAACAACCAGTAAATGATGGGGACTCCTGTTGCTTAAAAGATGTCAGAACTCTTTTAACTCCCCAAGCGGTTATGGGTATGGTACCAAACCCTAAGTTAACAAAAAGCTAAATAGTAATTTCATGATTATAATTGCAGAATGGTCCTCTTCCAGTATATGCACTGCTTTAATTGTCTATTTTTGAATGTTTTTCATCATTATCTATTTTCTCCCTGAGACTGGCTCCCCTTTTTGAAAAGTGTCATCAGTAGCTTTGATTTTAATAATTCATATAATATCAAATGTAATACCCAAATAATTGTGTAAAATTATAAATATATCTTATATTAGAATTCAGAATTACTGACAACACTTTTTAAAGCGACGAATCAGTCTTGGGTGAAATGCTGAAATGTTTAAGCAAAATGGCAACTGTTTGCCAAGATAGAAAACTTTACAATGAAAACTCTTCATCACCAACCTACATTATCCCCTTGATGTACGAATAAAATCCGTATCTGGAGAATGAATTTGAACACTCATGTGCAAGCTTAGGAACAAAACTTTTTATTTTCGAATTTACATTGCAATAATAATATATTGCATGATGTTCATCAAAGACAGTTCTTGACATCTTGGAGATGTCAGTCTACAGTGCCACATGAAATCAATGACATCTCCCAGATGTCATCATTTGTCAAGCCGTTAAGGGGTAGTCAAGGCTCTTGAAGTGTGCTTTTAATTTGCTGAATGTCTGCTGTGGCTGCAAACAAAAATCCTACTAGCAAAGCAGTTGCGTAGTGTAAAAGCGTCATAATCTTTTTTTAAGGTCCTTTCATCAGCTTAAAATCTGATTTAAGAATTTTTGTTCCCCTTAAGGTACTGTTTTGAAAGATTTTTGGCTAAACTTCATATGAGCTGCTATTGTGTTTAGGGCACTATCGTTAATGTGTCCTCCAAAAATGTGTTCATAATAGGATTAATCTTAAATTATGTTTATGAAGTATTTATTAACTGTCATTGTCATTGTACTAAAAAAATTATACCAGATTTTTATTTTTTAAGATTAAACAAAAAATTACAATGAAAACTAAAAATGAAAAATTGCAAAATATTTTCTTTGCAGTACAAAAAAGGTAATAAAGAATGAAAAGCGTAGTGGCGTGCCTCCTTAAATCTTTCACTAAAGTATTTATTTTATCTGTGCAATAATTTCATCAGTTTTTGCTATATGTTCATCATAACAGAACAGAAATCTAAAGATTTATGAATATTTCAAAATCTAGGTACACCTTCCTACCCTCAGGTACACTGCAGATTACTGGGGTTGTGATGAGTGATTCAGGTAACTATAGATGTCGCTCTATAAACATTGCTCGAATCAGGGACAGTTCTGAAGCCTTTTTGACTGTGCTGCCCAGTAAGTTATCCTTTGTTTAGCAAGTTGTTTCCCCCCCTAATATATTATGTTAATTCTTGCTTCCCTTTCAGACTGCCTTAATTTTAAAGTGTCAGTGTACAGTTGTTGCCAGTGCTTGTATTATTCTAATAAAAAAAAATTATATATATGCTCCAGTATGTGAAATGTTTATATAAAGTGCTATAGAGCAGTTTTGTTCGAAGTGTAAACATTTATTATTTATTCACCTTCAAAGGAACATCTGTAAGAGCATATACTCTCACTCCCCTGCTTCTTGTTTTCTGGAAGTATTCAAAGAATGCCTTTATCTCATATCTGTCATAGGCTGGCTGTCACATCATTTTGGATAGCTTGATTCTGTCTAATATTTTGACCAATGCAAAATCCTTTTTATAAAAGAAAACAATAGAGTTAAAGAATGAAAATCTTTATTGCAAATAAAGGATCTCTTTCTAATAAAAAGAATCAAGTATCTTTGCTGAAATGTCCTTTTGCTCAAAATATGTTATTAATTCGTGGAAATATTCAAAGAATGCCTTTAGTCATAGACTGGCTGCCACATCAATTTGGATAGCTTGAATATTGACTAATGTAGAATCCTTTTGATAAGAGAGAACAACAGAGTTAGAGAACGAAAAATCTGGTAAATAAAGGATCTCTTTCCAATAAAATAAATAAATAAAAAAAAAAAAAAAAACTCAAGCATCTTTGTTGGAATGTCCTTTTGCTCAAATATATCATTAATGTGCATGGTTCAAAGCTTTAACTTCATTTGTATTATGTGATGCATGATTCCACTTCATACAGTTTTTCTGCAGAGACGTTTGTACTATTTATTAACAGTTCTTTGGGTTCCAACAGATAGTATGTTGAATTTTGGAGGTTAGAGCTAGAAAAGTTCAAAACTGCACAGATGCTGCTTGTGTTTTTTTGCATTAACATAACATTGTAACATGAATATTAAAATGAAATATGCAGAGATTGTGTAGATATTGGCTTTCTGATTCTTACTTTGAATGTTGTATTAAAAGTAGAAAATTGGAGACCTTGTTTGTCATGGTCCTAATGTCAGAAGTCATATTGATTTTCAAATAAACACTTTGGTATTGTTTATATTATATTTTTATATTATTATACCACGAGGTATGGTATACTATGTTCATGCATTATATTATTATACCACGAGATACAGCATAATATGTTGTAGCCTGCATAACACAGTAAATATAATTAAGATACAACACAGTAAATATACTCAGGAACACTGAAAATAGTGCACCAAGAAGGAAGAAAGGTACAATCACAAAACTTTGCAAATAAGTACGGTGATATCTGATATGCAAATGATCCAAGTTTGGTGCCAGTAGCTATGACTGTATGTTCTGACTCTACAGTGGTGCTCCAATCAGAAGTGGGCTTTATATAAATTAGCACATAGATGAAGATTGATAAATCTGATGATTACATTTAGACTGTAGAAGGATTTTAATAAGCGAAGAATGCCTGGTAGATATGTGAGAAGACATTTCTGATAGCTAATTGAGTTTGAGAGAGACCTGAATTGGCATGAAAAGTGCAGGTTGAACAATGTGCCATATTGCTCCCCAAGTTGATCATTCAGAGTGTGCTGACAGAACATGTTGGGAGCAGTGGACACGAGATGGTATCCACATGCAGAGAACCGGGTCTGGAGTAAAACAGTTAGATGGTGAGGTAAGAGGATCAAAGGATCATGCGACAAACTCTGGTGGATCCCAGAATGACTCATTACATGATACAATTAGATGAAGAGGTGCTAGTTGTTCCACAGACCTTCTCCAGATGCCTTGTGGAAGCGAATATGCAATCCAAGTGCTCTTTCTGTGTACTGTCTTTAACACCAAAATGTTGGTGACTCTGTCTACAGTGTTGCCAAGCCAGAATGATGTGGGATACCACAAACTGGCAAAGAGTGGTATTTAATGATGAATCCCAGTTCATTTTGGGGACAGATGATAATCACATACGGGCGCGTGGTGGGAGTGTTCTGGTGTACAAGGGAATTCCATTCACATTGTCATGCAACATACTGTCAGGATGGGGCCATACCTTGTGATAGGTGGTCTACTGTAATTGTGGTATGTGGAATCTTAACGGGTCAGTGTTATGTTGATGACATTCTTCAATCCTGCATAGAATCTCTCCTAAATGGTCTTCCAAGGGCAGTTTTTGAAAAAGATAATGCTCATCCACATACAACTTGAGTTGCTCAAGACTTCCTACATCATGTTCAGACTCTCCCATGGCCACCTTGCTCCCCAGACTTGTCACCTACAGAGCATGTGTGGGACAAATTGAAATGCCAGATGCCGCTGTGTCAATTTAATTTGGATGTGGTTGTTCAAGATTTGTGGACCCATCTGCCTCAGAACAACATCAGATGTCTAAACAACTTAGTGCCACACCATGTTTCGGCATGCATTGCAGCAGGAGGCGGACTAATGCATTATTGAAGTTGCATTCTATTTCTCTGATTGTACACACCATATATGTGTATTTGTCTTGATTTGGGGATCAAGTTGATCTCTCATTTGTATGTATTAAATTTGATTTCAGTCTGATGCTCCTTCAGTGTCTGATGCTTCAGTGTTCTTAATTTCTAACTTTAATTTACAGTAGTCCCGTAATTCTCCATTTTAATTTGGCTATTTCTTGTTTTTGTCCTAAAAATAGTAACTGCTTATAATAAATCTTTTTAAACTCCATCATTTAGAAATTTATATGTATCATATTCTTACATAATACTAATGATGCAGGCATTTAAACAAATGCTTCAGCTAATAAGATTTCAGTTGGAACCTTAACTTTTTATTAATAGCCAATAGAAAAATTTGGAAGTGAAACTCAAATTGATCTTTACTAAAGGACATATTGAATTCCTGCTTATGCTTGCTGTCCTGTTCAACATATCGCACCTTGCCTCTCTTTCATCTATCGTATTTAAGATGTAGAATAAGAAATGTGATCGAGGCGGTTACACATTTTCCACCCATTATGATATACAATGTATAATTCATATTTAGAAGGAATAAAGAAAAATGTAATTAATTTAACATTACATCTGAACATTTGATTCCAACTATGCATTTATTTATACATCACTACATACCATCAATGCATCAGCACCATTACATATATATATATAGAGAGAGAGAGAGAGGCCAAGAGCAAAAAATTTGCGGCGGGTTAGTTAACACAGTAGATTCCAAAGTCTGTGTTTGGCTGCCTATCCCCCTTTTTTCAAGCAAAGTGCCCACTATGTATACTAGAATTTTACCTTTCAACAGTATATTATTAGATGTTCTCTGCATGTCATCTGTAGGCATTGACTGAATATGCTTAAAATTAGATTTGTAGTCATGTTTTTGGAATTTTGGCGGATAGTTCATAATTTCCATTCTTTAGAATGTATAAAAGTCACTTTATATGCAAATTGTACCAAAATACATGAAGGGTCAATTGAGTTGCTATCGCATTACTCATGCTTAACTGTAATATTTATTAATTTATATAACTGTTTATATTATATTTAACTGTAATATTATTTGTATAATCAAGTGAATGTTTAAATGTTTAAAAATCAAGTGAATATTTAAATGTTTAAAAATGTGTAGATAAGCAGATTATCCAACCATAATCGAATTGCTTCTCGGAATCCTTTAATTGCCTCAGACTTGTAAACCCCCTAGATCTTAAAGCATAGATCTTGGAGTGATATCATCCATGTTGGAAAAAGTGGGCTGTGTTGTCCTGTGTAATGCCGCTTCATACATTTTTTCTATAGAGAATATGCTATTACATTCTAACAGCCCAAATCAGTTGCAGTTTTCATGCACGACATATGGAAAAATTCACGAATGTTCCATTGTTGATGCAGTGAAGCTTTTCACAATAGAAGATGTATGATGGAAATGTAGTGTCAACAACTGTTGATAAAGTGTTATAACTGGAAATTGATTTGAGAGAAGTCACTTCAATGTTATGTAGCAGAATTCATATGAGGGCAGAGATTTTGAATTCGATACTCAGCCATTCCATGCTGGAACTTTAAAGAAAAAAATCTAATGTGTACACCACATCCTTGTATGGAATATTAAATTATACACATTTTTTCTTGCATTTGATTTAATCTTATTGGATTGAATTAAATCTGTTTCGTTGATAGCATATAAACCACAATAGAATAAATGCACTCTTTAAAATTCACTATATTTGTTTACCAACGCGACACTCTGGCGCTAGGTTCACTTAACAGTGTTACATTTCCTTCATATTATAACCAATGCACAAAATTTATATCATTTGAAGAATTATCTAATCATTGCCACATGTTCTATTCAAATACTGTAATAAATCTAGAACGATGTATAAAAGAATTTAAGCAAACAAAACAAAAAAGAAACAGTTTTTCACAGACGCTTCAGTATTTCTCATTCAATTAATTCAGGTCTCACTTTGCGACGAGGCCAAAATGCATAAAAACTCAAAATATCTATATTACAAATTACAAAATCTTAAACACTTATTTCCTCAAATAAATTCCAGAATAGATTAAACATGATTTAATTTGCAGTAATAAAAGAAGGCGTTATCTTTGCTGTTGCAGCAGCAGTTTTATAATTTTTTAGGATTAAAAAAGTCTTTTATTCTGTCTTTACATACAGATGTCATGCAAAAACGTTGTTAAATTGCGGTCAAAATAGATATTTTCGTTGGCATATGCTGCCTGAAACTTTTGAGATTACAGTGCTTCCTTTTTACTTCGTACAAGGAATAAAAAAAAAAAAAAAAAAAAAAAAAAAAAAATCATATTTGAAGAAATTAATATTAATTATATACTAGTTCTAAAAATATATAGAAATAATTTATCTTTTTACATGTATTTTTATAAATTTATCATAGAAATTTTTAAAAAAATCACCTATGATGCCTACATTTTTATTTTATTTGTTTACTTTGCATTTCACTTTAAAGCTACTGATTTATCATGAAGTTCTTCTTGTAGGAGTTCAGCAGTTTCAGCCACCAGTGTTTCTGAGTACTGGTGAAGGAGTTACTGCCATCACCAATAATCCTGCAGTTTTGGAATGTATTGCAGACGGGTTTCCTAAGGTTGAACTCAGCTGGAAAAGAGAAGGTAATTAATTGCTGTTGGTTTTTTTAGCATTTAATTTTTGTGATATAATAATTTAATTTTTTTTTTTTACATTCCTCAGCATTTGACTGTTAGGTTATGATATTAAGATTTAAAATCTTTCCTATTCCCTAGCATTTGACTTTCATATAAAGCAAATTTTAAATCCTCCCTTAATTTACCTTTTTCCTTCTCCCATTTCCTGAAATTTTTGTTTTACACAAATAGATCTGAAATAAAAGCAATTAAAATCCCATTGCTGCAAATATTTATATTTACTGTGATTTGAAATCTGGAAAATTCTTTCATGAAAACTCAGACATTCCATAAGAATATGAGATTTTTCTAGTTTTCTTACCTTGGATAAGGATTCAAACTGCAGTACTAGTAACCTAACTCACACTACCCCAACTTTCATGAATTCAGAGTTACAATATTCCATAAATTCTATTGTGCATGAAGAAAAATCTTTCTATGTTTAAATGTGTTTCTATGTTCACTGACATCCCTTGGTCTAAGCAGGTCCCTTACCTTGGGGTGATCCTCAACAATACTCTCACATGGGCCCCATACATTACACATATTTCGAGTGCGTAAAATGAAACTCTACCCCTTAATTGCTTGAAACAGTGCTTTATCTTTAGAAAATAAGTTACTTATTTACAAGTCCATTTTGCATCCCATGTTGTGTTATGTTTGCCCGGTATGGGCATTTGCCGTAAAAACCCAACGTAAAAGGCTCCAAACTGCATAAAACACAGTACTTAGACAAATAACTGACTTCCCATGGTATGTGAGAAATAACAGAATACACGAAGAACTTAATTGTTCAATTGAGATCTTTCTATTATAAACTTGCTAAAAATTTCCGCGAAATGCAAAATAGTATTGACAACCCGGCAATTAAAATCTATACATATGATTATAATGATCTTGGTAATTTGAATCGGCCACTGGCCATTCTCAATATATGGAATATGTAACGTTTACTTTTCTTTTCCTGAAGTAGGTGTAGTTTTGTTTATATAAAATGTGATTGTATGTAATTGTATCTCACTTGGCGCTGAGAGACTTGCACTGACCATTCCTGTTACTGATGACTGCATGTATATATCTATATTTAAAAAAAATTAGAAAATAATAATATTTATAAATATATATAAATATTAAAAAAAGAAATAGCAGATCAATTTTAAAAAAGAAAAGAAAAAATAATAATAATTGTCAAAATTATGTTATCTTGTAATGTTTTTTATATGTATATTTCTCTTTCCAATCAATATTCGAAAGTACTTTTGTTCTACAGGGAGTAGGGTCTTTGAACCCAGGTACCCAGTGTTTAGACACCATTCTACGGAATCAGAGGATTCTATGTTTAAAATTTACAAAATCACGTGACAGTGGTGTTTCTGTGAATACGACTGGCAATGCAAGTTAAAATATATTTTAAACCTCTGAGCGGCATGACCGGCTTTATTCAGACATGAGATTTTTTGTTACTTGACACATATTAACTTATAATTATTTTACTTTCTTACTTTCTTTAATAAACTAAATGTCATCTTAGTCAATGTAAGTTTATCAAAATAAAGACTAAAGTAAGTAATTATGAAAATTTAGCTTATAAATGCTGTTTAGATGCAGGTTTTCATGATGGATCCAAAATCCTGTGCCGCTCAGAGGGTTAATTTGTTGCTCTGAAAATCCAAGAATTTTAAAAAATGAGGCTAAAACTGACTTGCCAGTGATTTGGAAATCAAATTTTAAAGTTTGGTCGACAGCTTCTGTTTTCTGCGACTATTTTCTTTATACTTTAAAATCAAAGGTGAATGCTTATTGCTAGCCTAAACAAATTCTGCTGGAAGGGACACTTCTTATCAATAATGCACTTTGCCACTATCTGATTTTGACTCCTGTGAAGTCGTTCCTTTCCTCCAAAGGCTAACCAACTTGCTTCAAACAATGAGCTAGAACTGGGGTTCCCAACCTTTTTGTCCCTAAGAGCACATTCTAGAATATCTGTTGGATGGTGGACTTTTTCAAGGTGAAATTATAGTTGGATAGAGTTACTAATACCTGTACATAAAAAAAGAAATCGGCCGCATTTCGTTCTGCGCTGGTACATGTGTTGGACGCAATTTCTCTTTCATTAAAAATGAGAAAACTTTCATGTATAATTTTATTGAAAACAAAAACATTTTTATTGTGGTCGCACAGTGATTGGGCACACATTAAACAATCAGCAGGGGCATATTATTGAGAACCCCTAGTCTAAGGAGTCATTAAAATTTTCACATTTATTAAATAAAACAGTTTAAATACATGCACGGAAGTCTTTTGAAGACTTTTAAACACAAATCAATGTTTAGATGTTGTTAAAAAATCAGTGGGTGATCTTGGATTGAAATTTCCAATAAAACTAGAATACGGGGTTGCCACGCTACCTGGAAAACTGGAAAAAGTCGGAGAATTTAAATATTTTAGTCAAAATCTGGAAAAGTCAGGGAATGTCATACAGCAACCCCCCCAAAAAGCGACTTTTGTGCCAATGTTGGAAGCGATGGCTTTGTTGGCGAATTATGTATCGTATGAGCATCATTCGGGCGTAGAGCCAGTTTTCGCAGTTCCAATCAGATTGTCTTTTAGAAAGGCAAAGCAAGTTTCCGGCAAGTTTGGTTTCCAGTAACCTTTAGAATCTTAAGACTTGCATGTGCAGGTTATGTTGAACTAAAGAAAATACCATCCCATTCTCCTATACAACAAAATCGGTTTAATCCTAATATATGGTACCATGGACTCTGTTCTAATGTAAGAATGTCTATGTAAAGAAAGAAAGGTTCCATAGACGTAATGTAAATCAGTTTGCTAGAGTGCCACTAGAAAGCGAAGGGAAAAACTCGCCAAGGGATTTGGCGACGGAACCTGACGGCGAGAATTTCCCCCTCCGCGATGTGTACAGGAAATTGTGGAGCATGTGTTAAGAAGAAACGTTCTTTGACTTTTGCGATAATTTATACTCGGATTTTCGTACTTTTTTTGCTCAAAATAGCTAATCTATTAATTAATTTACTCGTGCAAAAAATATTTTCTTTTCCTTTAAAGTTTAAGGAAATTTAAAACGATATTCGTTTTATGTACTCTTGATAAACTTGACCTTCGAACTTCACGAGCTTCAGCGATAGATATTTTGCGCATATACAGCTGTTTCCCTCTATGTTGGGATGGAGCCATTCCTATTGCAGAGAAGGTTTTTTATCTTAATAATGTATATTTTTTTATTCTAACCTTTATGTACGGTACACATGGGATTTGGTGGCATTATGATGAGCAGTAACAACAGTTACCTCTTTCTGTCTCTTAGTCTCTGTTTAAGAAGGTGTTGGGTAGTAAATCAGTCATTTTGGTGTTGGCAGCAGTTTTCAAAATTGTACAAAGGCCGTAGCGAAGACTAAAATTTTATCGCGAAATCTTTTTAACTTTTTTTTTTTCATTTTAATAAATGCCTTATTTTTCATTTTGCAGTAAAATAAAAAAATAGTAATCAGTCATCTAGGCTAACATTTAATATTCGCCAAAGTAGCCATTGACTATTGTAATTCAATTTTTAATTAATTAACTTCATTTTAATGTTATTTATATCATTTAATGTTCTTTTTTCCTCTAAATTTATTTATTATTAGTTAATAATACTTTCAAATTTCAGGCAAATTTCTCTGGCTTAATTCTGAAACTAAATGTAGCAGTATGATGACATTCTATCACGAAATTTAATGCACATATTTTTGTTTATGTGTGCTGCTGAATAAATATAAAATACCTGAATTTATTTTAAAATATCATTAAACAGATTTCTTTCGTTTAGCTGCAAAATGTCTAAAAAAAATTCATTTTTTAATCCGGATTGGGCAGATTCTAATCTCAATCTTCAGTGGAGAAAACAACTCCTATTATAGCTATAATAGTAATGCTTTCAGGATTATATATATAATATGTCATAGGCAGTTGGCAAATTTTTATGTTTTCAATTGGTACCATAATTAATTTACCTCTCAGTGCAGCCAACGCACACTATGTGAATAGAAAAACGTGTTCATTCTTCTTCAAAAAATGTGATGAAAGCAAGAGTAGAAACTGATCAGTTCACTGATGTAGTAGAAGTTGTCAGTTTTGATGTGCAATTTAATTTGAAAGATGGTAGGGATGTCAGTGAGATAAGGCATTCACATAACAAAGAGCTGATTATTGATCAGCTTACAGAGTTGTGTGAGCAAATTGCTATTAAGAAGCTGATACTTCAGACTGGGACATGACTTGTGAACTTGGCAGACACACTTAATTCAGTTGAAAAAAGGTTACAAATTTTAGAGAGTGTGGGTTCTAAGCAAGAAACATATTCTAGTTACAAGGCAAAGGGTGGGACTAGTTTGCTGTACAGAAATTTTGCATGATTAAGAAAAAAGTTATTAAGTCATCAGACAAGTTCGTTTTATAAAACAATTGTCATCAAAATAAATAAATTGTATGAAGCACATTTACTTTAATATTATTTTTTATTGATTTGTATGAAAGCTGCCGTTTTCATTGCCAATTTGTCCTTTAAACAAAATTGTTTCAACCCTCAGTTCTATTTAACTAAAATTTATATGTAATTAAATGTAAATTTAGACCCTGGCCTAATATGCTTTTTATTGAACCCACTTTAATGCTTAACTTCAGAATATTATAGTGTAGCTAGATTTTGAATAATGTGGGAGTTAGGAATGTTGATTCTTTGTCTCGTCAAAAGTCCTGTGTAAAATGTAGTAACAATTCGAATTAAATAGACTAAGATTAAACAGAGTTTTATCCAAATTTTCTATTTAAGAAATAATTTATTCCATTACCAAAGGGCATAAATTTGTTATTTTGCTGGGTGTCTTCTAAAAATTTTTTAATAATAATTCTTAATCATTGAACTATATTGTGTAAGCTAATTTGCGTGATGTAGAAAGACATGATTTTATTTTGTGATTAGTTGTCTTAAGTAACTAACTTTTAAATTTCATGACTATATTAATTTTGTTTTTGTTCTTAGGATTTGTTTTAATGATTCGTGCTTTCAGTTTTATATGTTAATATATCATATTTCTGCTTCTTAGCCCATGATTAGAGTAGTACTGTAATTATTGCCTTACACAAATATATATATAAAAAAAAGGGCAAACTTTGAGAGGTGAATAGTCATTTTTAGTCTAAAGAACACGTGGCCAAAAATAATTGCAAACCGAGAGATTGTTTGTAGTACGCATACAGAAGAATGAGAAAAAAGATGAAAAACCAACTTTATGGGTAATTGCAATAATTATTCAAAACAGCAACCGCCATCTCTCAATGATGATGAAGGTTAGTGAACGTTCCTGAACTCAATACATAGTTGCAGCATTGACTAAAATTCTGGCATTAAAGTCAAAGGAAGTTTTCATGAAAGGTTCTCGGACTAGGACTCGGTTTCACAAACTAGGTTCTACAAAAAGAAATTGAGACATGACAGATCGAGCAATGCTAGGCAACTTTGGCCACCAACATAATGCCCCTTCCCAGTTGGGTCAATATAGATAGTTCCTTACAAATTGTTGAAAATGGATTGGTATGTAATCATGCTAGTACCTTAAAAAATTTATGGTATTTTCCTCTGTCAAATTTGGAAGTTCATTCATATTAGTTTTCTGACCATGTGTATACTGATTTATTGCATTGATTGATACTACTGCACATTTATGCATGTGGAATTGCATATTGCTAGCCAGCAAGTCCTCAGCACTTTCATTTTTTCCATGCATTCTGTGATAGAAAAGAACTGATTCTGTGTGTTCTTTTATGAACCCTTTCGAGATGGCGCGCCTTTATTCAACACCTGTATAAATACATGTTCATTATAGTGCAAAGACATATGTGCAATCATTTTACCATGTATACATTTTTAATGTTTTTTACTTATTTTACTATGTAAAAAACATTGTAAGGCAATAAAAGTTAAAGAACATTTAAATTAATTAACGAGGATTATCAAACATGACTGATAATAAATGTATTACAATTTCGAAACTTTTACAAAGGTAGAAAACTTGTTGTTAGCAAACATTCACACATCATATACTGGTGTAAGTTAAAGTTCGCAAACTCCCTCAGTTCTTTTGGTCAACCAGTGTTGCTAAAATCAGATTGTAAAAATGCCCATCGATTAAATTGACCCATGCAAGTATTATGTTCTTCCTCTGATCAATTTCGTCATAATAAACTGATGTCATGGCTTTCTAAATAAATGTAAAGGGAAGTACGTGAAATATTAGTGATAAAAGCAATGCAAGGTGGAGTAGAACTCCGCACAGTAACCCTAAAAGGCCTTGCATGGTAATAAAAAAAGAATCCGAGGGATATCAGAAAAGTGAATGCTTATATCGGGTGGCAAGTTAAAGAGGCCATTGTTCTATTTGTTTATATTATGCTTTGCCTCTTCCCTTGTAATAGCTGACACCAGCGGCAGAATATAATTAAACTCAAGATCAGAATCCTGAAACTATATTCAGTTCAAAAGTAATGGACACAGGATGCCATCTAGTAGTCTTTAAAGCATGTTTCAACTTAAAATGTGTATGTGCATCACCCATGCCTTGTCTTAGTTCTCCAGTAATACATGGGTGGGATGCCCAGATGTGAAAGACGTTCATAGGGAATGCGTATATGGGATGGTTGTCCTGAAAGGGTTAAAATTTGTCCCATCATTTTTTAACACTAAAAATACTGAAACTTAGTATATACCTCCTAGCAGTCCAAATGGCTGCATTGTGAAAGAGTAACTAATGTGTAAAGAAATTTGTTTAAAATTAATTTTTAATATTTTTATATTATTTACAATTATATAACAAGTTATTAGTAAATATTAACAATAAAAATTACTTCACTTGGAAAAAAAAATTTATGCATTATTATTTGTACATTTTTTGCAAATGAAAGTGGAAATCTTTTTATGTGTAAATCTTCCACACACATTTTTCACATATATTATTTGTTTTGTTGTTGTGGCAAAGTTGCACTTGACAAATTTTGCGTTTGTTTCAATGGGTTGCATTTGATGATGTTGCAGTTGGTCTTTGTGCTCTGATGACTTTTTCTGTCTTTGCAGTTTTGTATTCGGTGGAAAGCTGTTCTGCTAATTGAAACAAGAACTCTTTTCTTTATATTTGTATTCCTGTCCTTGTTTTGGTAAAGAATCCAAGCATTTATAGGAGCCAAATATAAAATATTGAAAAATATTTGGAGGGGCCATTTACGAGAACTTGTTTTTACTGTATATTTTCTGGCCATTTGATTCCTCATATCAAATCCAAATTTTGTGCTGTTATAAAATTGAATAGATTCCGGTAATATGTTTTTATTATTTTTATCAATTTTCACAAATTTATACTTAGAAATTAGAACAGCTACTCTTTTATTTGATTTGCTTTTATATATTGTAAGAACACAGTTCTCTGATTTAAGAACTTAGAACAACTACTCTTTTATTTGGTTTGCTTTTATATATTGTAAGAATACAGTTCTCTGATTTATAAAGCAGAGTGGAAAAACGATGTTATCCTTGGTTTGTTTGGCTGATTTGGATAGTTCTCTTTTGTTTCCTCAAATAGTTCCAACTAGAGTTGTTTGTTTGGCCAACAGTTTTGTCGCGAGTAACATGCCAGTGAAAACGTTATCAGTCGTGATATTTTTTCTACAGTTTGTATATGGCTCAAGAAGTTTCAGAACAACGTGTTTACTCAGATTCCAATAACAAGTACTACTTTAGCTTATTGAAAAACTGCAACTTATCAAGTATACGCTCAAATCAACAATTTATCATGTACTTGTATGTTATCATGTGACGGTAAAAAAATTAAAACTGTTATTTCAATACAAAGCCGAACTGGTCATATAAGAAATTTACTCAATTCAATAATAAGAGTCATTTGATTATTTAAAATTTCCCAAGTAGTCAAAATGACTGCTTTTGTGCAATATAGGTATAACACATACATATATATACTGGAAATGAAAGAGGGGGATGTAACTAGAATTATTAATAAACACATTTATATGTTGTAAAAAAAAGTCGCACAAAATTCTAAGAAATTTTGTCGTTATATCATTCATAGTTGTTAAAAAGCAGTCAAAATGCAATCTAGTGTTAGATACCCTGCATATATTTAATATTATAAAATATTCATGTTTCTCCCTTGTTTCTTTTAACTAGATGGGAAAGATATACCAGAGCACTTTATACGAAATGGGAATCTTTTTTTTCCTAAAGTACAACCTAGTAACAGTGGATCCTATATTTGCGTTGCAAAATCTGTGAATAAAGAACTGAGCCAAATAGCACCTGCCACCCAAAAAATTCCTCTAACTATTTATGGTATGTTATCAAAACTTTTATTAATTATATTAAAAAAAATTGTGAAAATGGTGAAATGTTTTGTTATATACAGAAGAAATGCATTTACCTGTCACTCTTTTAACCATTAATTTTCATAATAATCCATCAGGACTGAGGCAGTCTGAAGAACAGAATGAGTTAACCAAGACACAAAGAAAAAGAGTAAATACAAAAACACTTGTAATTTAAAATAGACTGTAGTGTATAATAAAATATGATTGGTTTCTCAAGTTGGGGTTACAATATTGTTTTAGAAAGTACAGTTTTGTATTTATTAAACAATATTTTAAGTATTTTTGTTAGTACTTAACAATCAATAAAACAGTATAGTATAACTCACTATTAAAATATCCTTGTGTTCAGTAATCTCGAGAATTATCGACTTAATAAGTAATTTTCCAACCATTTTATATTTTATATATCTGCATACAAAACTTTTACAGAACTCTACATGTATGGCCAACATTAAGATATGAAAATGGTCAAAAATGCTGTGAGTGAATTAATTATATTTAAGCTGTTTGGGATTTAGTAGCATACTTGTTTTGACTAGGGATTATTTTGCATTTGATTTAAATATTATGCTTTTTATTGTATGAAATAGTAAGCAAGCTGAGGACGGTAATATGGCTATTTTGCATTTCTAATGTTGGTGTTTGGTTATTCTCTAAAATGTACTGCATTTTATTTGGATCATCAGTATCAACTGCTGCACTTGATGGTGGTTTGGGAGGAGTGTCTGTTATTTGCCTGTCCTCTTATTAACCACGATGATGGTCTCAAAGCTTCAATGTAACTAATGCATATTCCAGTATTTCTATGATCTCTTTAAATTGGAGATCTTAGTCTTCATAATTTCGCAACAGCTTCTGATTTTCACCTATAATGGGCGAAAAATATGAATTGAAAGTAATGATACATTTCCAGTATGTAAAAATCTCTTCTCATGAAAAAGTGCTGGTAGAAGTGGACAAGACACCAGAATTTCACCATTGGTAGCGCAAGTATAGTCTCTCTTGCATTAACTGCAGTTCTATCCCATTTTGAGGGAGAACTTTCCAGGATCAGTAAAATAAATACAACAGTACCCCAATCTAAGGGAGCTTAAAGTTATTGAGTTCCTTAATTCCCCTCCTGTTTTGTCCTTCACAAACCACTCTGCAGATAATTTCACATGTGTTCAACAGTGTTGTTTTTGCAATAGGTATGAATTTATTTCATAAAAATTTCATGTGTAATTTCAGCTTCCTCAAATCTCTTCTGGAAAGAAATGCCACAAATGAAATATCAGTCAAGCTAGATTCAGGCAAATTGCTACTGAAGTGTTCTAGCTGTAATGCAAAGAATTAAAAAATCTACATGATTAAAATAAAATAATCATTGAGCTATCGGATGAGGTTTTTTTTTTTTTTTTTAATTTTAAGAAGTCTTCAACTTTATGGAAAGAATGTTGTTTATATAGTACATCTTATTTAGTTTAGTATTATTTTTTATTAATATGTTTAAAAACTACTTTCTTTATTACGTAGTAGCCAAGAGGGCAGTCATATCACCCATCATGCGTGTGACATGTTGCTTGTGTGTATTGGGATGGCAGACAATGAAGCAGTTGGTGCTGTCATGCAGGCATCATTGTATGCCACCCAGACACAAGCAGCACTTGAGTACGGGTCTGTTTGGTGTGTCACAAGACACCTGGCTGAAGGACATTTAGTATTGTGGTCACTATTATGTGTGTTGCCAATAACATCCATTCGTCATTGCATTCATTTGGAGTGGTTTCACACTTAATGGGATTGGAAGACAACGGAATGGAACCAGGTTGTTTTCAGCCATAAATTAGATTAGTTTGGGCAGTGATACTTAACTGTGTACATGTATGGAGACCCTGTGGTGCCTGCCTCTGTCCTGCCTTAACTTAGTGGCATGCTTCTCCCACAGCTGGTATGGGGTGTCATTGCATATGATACTTGGTCACCTGTGATATTGATCCTTGGCACCATGACAGTCCACTGGTACATTCATGAGATCCTTCAGCCACATTATGTTGCCATTTGTGGTAGGGCTTCCTGGAAGCATTTTTCGGTAGTGGATTGCTGTGTCCATGTACAGCAGGGATGTCACAGGAAAGGTTCTGCCCCATTGCCACACTTCCCTAGCCTTCCTGATATCCAGATTTGTCATTGATCAAGAATGTTTGGGATATCTTGGGAAGACAAAAACCTAGGAACGTGGTTGAATTACAGGTGAACTTTCAGCAGTTGTGAAATGAAATGACACCAGACACGTAAGGGACTTGTATGCCTCAGTGCCCAGCCATATTACATCATGTATTCATGTATCAAGTTTGCCCAACACGGAACTAGAACCTCTATTGATTTGCAGTTTTTCCTGTAATAAATTATCCTTTCTCTTTTATTTTATAGTCATTTAATGTACATCAATGTTGTACTCATATGTATAATATAAATTTGGCAATAAGTTTGTGGCCATGAGTCATAAAAAATGTCTGACATCAGCTTATGCATTTTTCATTGGTTCCAATTACTGTGTAACTCATAGACTCCAGCTACTTCAGATTCTCTGTGGTTTCTTCGAAGATTTTTAAAAATGTGCAAAATAGGGAAAATGAGGGGGGACTACAGATTTTACTAGAAGGGGGTTACAAGGGAAATTATGTGCAAAGCGGAATGAACATATTCATTTGATGATTGGTGCAATGCTTGTGACGTCATATATTACATGCCAAGTCGATGGTCTTATGGTTTTGAAGAGTAACTATTCGTAGATCAACAAATTCCAACCCTTATCCTTCTAATGAAGCACCCTGCAGTGAAGGGCTTGTTTGCCATGAGGGTCATGTTCGGTTTTGTTACAGGGAGAAAATGTAGTGCATATTACTTTTGAGTTCTGATTAAACTGAAAGTTTATTAAGTTTGTGAATTATGCTGTTTTTAGAATAAAAGGCCAAAATTAACAAGCCAGAAATTTAGACTCTATTCTACAGAATTTCATTGCATTAAAGCATCTAAAGTTACTGTAAATCATGCCTTTTGCACTAGAATAAAGACTTTTCAGTTGTGCATAGTGTAAAATGTGACTATAAACGGCATGTTTTTTTCTCAAAGGCATAAGAATATTAGTGCTGTAAAATCAAAAGACGTATCAAATTTCTTCATAAAAGACAATAAAATGAATGTTCTAAAAGCCAAGTGTTGTTTATTTTGATTTTTAATTGAGCAGACCTTTCCATTTCCTTGATGATTATTTGTGATTAGTGATGGGCAACTTCGGTACTTCAGTGATTAGTGATGGGCAACTTCGGTTCTCATACCCGGTACGAGAGTAAGGGGTACAGACAAGTACCCGGTACAAAATACCCGTCACTCAAGTAACCGTTACTTTGAAAAGTACCGAAAACCGATTTCAAGTACCGAGTACCCAAGTAACGATTTGGAGTACCGAAGTAACAAAATACTGGAGTAACGGTTTGCTATACTGGAGTACCCTATTAACGGTTTGGAGTACCGAAGTACCCTAGTAATGATTTGGAGTACCAAAGTGCCCTAGTAACGATTTGGAATACCGAAATACGCAGCTAACGACTTTGCGCGCTGAAGGAATTCTGCCACGTCACCATGTGTTTGATTTTATCTGTACGGAGTAAGATTTTGAATATCAGAAAACATGTCAACTACTGTGTCTGAGGAACAGGACAGCACGGCGGATTGTTTCTGGTGTTGGGTTTGTGTAGATTGTCTTTGATGGCCAGTGGGGGTTGGGAGGATTGTGGCACGGGAAGTGGATGGATGGAAACATTTTCGCTTTCGGTTGTGTCTTGTGTGCAGGTGCAGCAAAATCGATGGGTGCTCTATCAATTTCGTGAAAGGGGTCGTCCATAAATGATGTCACGCTTGGAGGAGGGGATTAGTGAAATTGTGACAGTTTGTGACAAGGCGGGGAAGGGGTAACAAGAGTGTGACATCATATTTTGATTAAAATAAAAATGTTTAAAATCAGCAGATTGAATTTTTAAGTTATTTTAAAATTACCAAATATTGAAGGTATTTCCTTAATTGGGGCGAAAACAACTTTCATGTGATTTTTTTTTTTTTTTTTTTTTTAAATACATACATTCCTTTCTTTATCCCCCCCCCCCAAAAAAAAAGCCATTCAGAGTAGGTTTTGAGAATAGGGTAGCCGCAGAAATTGTAATTTTATTGCTACTGTGTATTAATTATGTTTTTTGCTGTAAACTTTTCTCTTATTTCATACAAAATAAGGGCACAAATCATTATTATTGTTGTATTTACAGATGTCATTAAAACATATAGTTTAAATTTTAAAATAAAGTCTGAAATATGATCTATAACGTAGTGCTACGTTTTTGAACTGCAAGTATAAGTTTACATTATATTGCGTGACGTGACAAAGGGCGGGAGGGTGTATGTTGAAGTGTGACACTTTGTGACAAAGAGGGGGAGAAGGGTCCAAAATGTTGCAGAAAAGTGTGACATCATTTATGGACAGCCCCAAATGAGCATAGTTGCGTACTTGAAAAACGTCGGAAGATTTTCTTTGTATGATATTGAAGGAAGGGAGAATACACTATGCTTTTTCGGCTGTGTTGTGTTGTGTTGTGTTGTTGGAGGGAAACAAAGGAAAAAAAATCGGAAAATAGAAATTTTGATGCAACACTAACACTATACTATGAGTAAAAATGTCGCAATAAATTTCAAATAGAAAATTAACTATAACTAGCTGTGTAGCAACCTGATAGGATGCAGTTTCCTAAGTATATATCAGATATTTAATGATCAATCTGTTTAACATGATATTTTTTTATTTATACGGATAAATAACATACCACAGAAGTCGTTTAATACCTTCAATTCGGTAGTAAAGGGCATAGGGGTGCGTAGGGTCTAGAAATTAAAATAATCACAAACCTTTATCCCACTTATAGATAAGATAATGACCTTCAGTACCACTGCAAAATAAAACTTATTCAAGCTAGCAAATTTTAAAAAAGATAAATCTCTTATTCTCTACTCTCCCCTATATATATTAAAAATTCTGAATAAAAAAGTAAGATAATTTAAACATTAAATATAACATAAATGACCTTGTGTGTTTAATTGTACAATACTGACATTGTTGTTCAGAG